GGAATGGGCTGCCCAGGAAGGTGATGGTTTCACCATCCCTGGAGAATTTTCAAGCTGAGACTGGATGTGGCAAGACTTTTTAGAGAGAGTGGTCAGGTATTGGAATGGGCTGCCCAGGAAGGTGATGGTTTCACCATCCCTGGAGAATTTTCAAGCTGAGACTGGATGTGGCACTTAGTGCCATGGTCTAGTAACCACAGTAGGGTTGGACTTGATGATCCTTGAGGTCTCTTCCAGTCCTGTTGATTCTATGACCTCTGCTGCACCACGAGGCTTGTGGCCTCCTCTTACCCCCCCAGTCAACGCCTCAGGCAATTAGAATTATAATACCAACACGTTATTAAGGCCGCAGTTAACTGTTGCTATAATATCGACGCTTTATTAGCCCTACGGGTGACAGGGAGAGGGGGAGAGCAGCCGAGGTGTGGTGGTGGTTGGAGGAGGGACTGTGGAGGCCTCTGCATCGCAATGAATAGCTCATTAACCTCTGCAATTAATAACTCATTAATATCTGCAATGAATAACTCATTAACCTCTGCATTGCAATTAATAGCTAGTGGGCAGACAGCAGTAATGCTCGCAGACCTGTACATGCCTCTGCTGCAATGGAACAAGCTGCCTTAGGGAGTGTGTTTTGGTAGCTCATGAGCCCAGGGATTTCTTGGATGCTGCTTAAAACCTTTGGGTGGTTGTTGGTTTAAATCCATGGAAGCTCTTGACTCACGATTCCTTTGCACTCCTGGCTTCTCCACACCTTTTTCCAGCCAGCAGGATCCATGTTTTTTTCAAAGGCTTTGTATTACACACACCCCAGTTAGCCCCTGTGACCTCGGGGTTGTCTTTCAGCACGTCTCACACCCTAGGGCAGCTCCCGGGGTTAGGTTTACATCATGCCATCCCGCAGAATATTCCCTCTGTGATCCTTGGGCTCCTCCTTGCCAGATTTTCAGGAAATTAGTGTTTTTCTTCCATGCTTGTTAACAGGGAAAACCATCAAATTTTTTTGGGGTAGCTTTAATTCGTGTGATATTAGGGTGATTTGAAGCTTCTCAGGCTCTCCAAGCTTGAGTTCACTTAGAAACAAAAGTAGTTGCCATTTGCTTCTTGCTGGAGCTGGGAATCTCCACGTGGATGGGTTGGATTGGTCTGGATGTCACACACACATGCCCATATGTATGGCAGTAACCTGGATGGACCCACTGGAACCACTCTCCAAGGCTAAAACAGAGGTGGAAGCATCAGTGTGGAAAACACAGGCTGGAAAAGAAACAGCAACAGTTGGAAAATGCACCCTGGAAATCCAAAGTTCTGATTTTTATGGTCTTTATTGTCCTTCAGAGGTATAAACGTGAGTATGGAAAACATAGGCTGGAAAAGAAAGGGAGCAGCAGCTGCAAAATGCATCCTGGAAATCCAAAGTTCTAATGTTTATGGTCCTTATTTTCCTTCCAGATCCAGGGAATGGTTTTGTGGGACAACTTCAGGGGGTTTTGTTAACATCAAGATGGTATTTTAGCACTTCAGCTTAGGCTTTTCTCCAGCTGAGATTTGCTGACTTTGATTAGGAAGAAGGATTCTCCCCCACAGGGCCAAAGCCCAAGAGGTTTGGGTGCAGGAGCATTGGCAGAGCTGTGCACTGGCTCAGAGCAGGTGATTTATCAGGGAAAGCAGGGTCAAAGGTCTGCAGTTTCCCTGTGGAGCAGCAAAGGAGCATTTTCATTCTGCCTTTCCCTGTTATTTACTTTTCCCTGGCTAAAATAAATAACAGCCCTTTCCTGCTTTCAGCACATCAACCAGAATTGAACTGGAGTGTTCAATTTGGTTAAAAACCAGATTTTGCTCTCATTGGGCTGTCAGTAAGGAGACTAAAGAGAAGCAGATCACCAACAATACAACCCAGTGTGGAGTTTCTGCTCTCAAACACAGCTCTGGGGCTGCTCAGGGTGAGAAGTTCATGCTGGGCTAGGCAAGAAAAAGTCAGGAGCTAAATTTGACTCCTGTGAGGCAAAGCTTTGAGCTCCAAGGTCGTGTGTGCTGTGTGACCTCTGCAAACATTGGTGCAGTGGGGAAAGGAGGAACCAGCATTGTGTTCATCTAGAAAGCCGTTCCAGCCTTTGAGGAGTGGAAAAACGACAAGTTCATCCCCCACTCAAAAAAAAGCAATTTGTGAGCAGAGCAGTGCTGAGGAGAGAAATTAATTCAGAACAAAATCAGTTACTACTGCTACAACATATAAAATATATAATAGACCATTATAGATTCTATGCTATTATTTCATATTTGTTTTGTCTATTTAAATATAGTTGTATTATAGTATTTGTTATTATATATTATATACAATGTGGTTTATATATTATATACTACATAATATGTAATTGAGACCTGCAGTGAGGAGAAAGACTTGGGAGTGACAGTGGATGAGAAGCTCAGCATGAGCTGCAGTGTGAGCTCAGCCCAGAAAGCCAATCGAATCCTGCACTGCATCCACAGGAGTGTGGGCAGCAGGTCAAAAGAGGTGATTCCTTCCCCTCTGCTCTGCTCTTGTGAGGCCCCACCTGGAATACTGCATGGAACTGTTGGAGCAAGTCCAGAGGAGGCCATGAAGTTGATAAGAGCACTGGAGCATCTCCACTATGAGGACAGGCTGAGGAAGTTGGGGCTGTTCAGCCTGGAGAAGACTGCATGGAGACCTCAGAGCAACTTTTCAATATGTGAAGGGCCTACAAGGAGCCGGAGAGGGACTCTGTGTTCGGAACTGCAGGGATAGGACAAGGGGCAATGGATTCAAACTGAAGGAGGGAAAGTCTAGTTTGGATGTGAGGAAAATGTTTTTGACAAAGGGTGATGAGACACTGGCATAGGTTGCTCAGGGACATGGTGGCTGCCCCAACCCTGGCACTGTTCAAGGCCAGGCTGGATGAGCCTTGAGCAACCTGATCTAGTGAGGAGGTGTCCCAGCCCAGGGCAGGGGGTTGGGACTGGTTGATCTTTAAGGTTCATTCCAATCCTTAAATTCTATGATTCTCTGAATACTAAGTCAATTATAGCCTTGAGATCCAGGAGTTTTATCTTGGATAGACCCAGAGTCAGGGTGTTTTCCCTCCTTCCTCGGCTTGTTAGAAGGAATCTCTCTCATCCTTTGGCCTCTGAGAGCCTTTGCAGTTAGGCTTCTGGAGTTTTGTCGGTGAATCCAGGGCTGATCCCGAGCTACTGTGGGGAGAGAAATCCATATTGGATGGCTTCTGGGCTCTTGGTCACGACTGAAGGGCTATTCTTTTCCCTCTGCTCCAAGTCTCTTCTTGTTTTTCCCACTCCAGCTGTGCTGCAGGGACGTTGCTACTCACATGGCTCGCAGGAGTCAGACGAGGAGTTCGACGCTCGCTGGGTGACATACTTCAACAAGCCAGACATTGATGCCTGGGAACTCAGGAAAGGTATGTGGGGGGAAAGGCAAGAGGAACATGGAGTAAATAGTTCTGTGCCCACAAATCACTTGTTTCACTTTATTTCTGGCTGCCCCATCCCTGGAAATGCTTGAGGCCAGGTTGGATGGGGCTAATGGAAGGTGCCTATGGACTCTGTGATCTTTGAGGTCACTTCCAACCTAAACTATTCCATGATTTGAACACCACCTGGCTGGGAGGGAGAGAAACATTTGCTCTGAGGAAAGTGTGTTGGAGCCCAGTTTGGTGTATAAATACCCATTTCCCTTTGGGCATTGCCCTGGTGGCTTGGCCATAATTCTCTGCAGACTCTGGTTGTCTCCAGCTGTAGAGTTGCCAAGTTTTATTAACTTCCCCAATTAAGAATGAATTCCCAAGTTCCTCTTGGTGTTTCCTGGTACCCACAGGTGTCAACACACTGGTGGGGTATGACCTGGTCCCAGAACCCAAAATCCTGGACGCAGCCCTGAGGGCCTGTAGGAGGCTCAACGACTTCGCCAGCGCCGTCCGCATCCTCGAGGTCGTCAAGGTGGGTGGAGCTGCTCTGTGCTCACTGCCAGGGCCCAGCTCCAGAAGGGCTTTCCCTGCCTTTGTCCTGCTGCAAAGGGAAACCAGTCTTGTTGCCAGGATCAATGGGTTTGTGATGAGCATGAAGAATCTTGAGGGGCTGAGTGCTCAGCTGGCTGGGAGAGGTGACTCCAAGCTGTGGAGGCTTGGAGAACACCTCAAAGCAGTTCCTTGAAACCTGAATCCAGCTTGCCAGAGAGTTCAGAGGAGCCAGGAATTGGATTTCAGCCACAAGTGAGGGCTGATGAAGGAGGTTTGGGAGATGGAAAAGCAATGAAAGAATCTTCCTCTGGTGAAATAACATTCTTCTTTTTCCTTCAGGACAAGGCAGGACCTCACAAGGAGATTTATCCTTACGTTATCCAGGAGCTTAGACCAACTTTGAGTGAACTGGGAATCTCCACTCCAGAGGAACTGGGCCTGGACAAAGCATAAGCCTTAGTGGTAAGGGATGTTGCTTCCCGGACTCTTTCATGGGAGCCCAAAACCCCTGGCAGAGACAGAGTGTAGGCAAGTGCTCTAATCCCAGACTAAAATGAAGCCCTAAATAAAAATCCTCATGGAAGTGAAGCCTTTTCCCTGGGTTTCTTCAGGACATGACCAGTGTCATATTCTTTAAATACTGCTCTATATCTGCCTCTATAGAGCGATATTTTCTGGAACAGACATCCTGTGTAAAACTGCAAGTAGCACTTCATTCTGGGTCGTTTAAGCCTTTTCCCTTTTCCTTGGCCTAGGATACAATGTCCTGGAGCCAGGGCATCCTGAGGCAGCTGTGCTGGGTGTGCAGTACCTGCATTTTTGGGCTGAGGAGAATTAAACTGAGCTTTGAGGGTAAAATGGATGGAAATAACTCATTTGAGACCTCATGGAAACTTTGTGGAGATACTGGTCTGCTGCTTTAATGGCTTTTTTAGTCTTTTTTTTCCCTGTTCTTTTCTATTTTAGGTGCATCACTCAAGTGTTTCACCAATGCCACCTGATTGTACACAGCCACTTGGAGGCACAACCCTGAAATCTTGCCTGAAATAACTTCTTCCTTTATTGAGTCACAATGTCTGTGCTGTGCAGTTGGACCTAATAAAGGAAACACTGGTTTGACTGATGTGGTGCCATTGGCTCCTGTGCTTATTTCTTGGTGCTTTTGTGGGGAAAAGGAAGAAACAAACCCTAAAGGTGCTCTTAGGAGCTTATAAATCATTCTTTGCTCAGCAAAACCCTTGTACATGGCCTTCCCAGCACCTGAAGGGGGAGAGCAAGGCCTTGCTAAATTCTTCATGCTCTTGAAGGAGGAACTCCTCTGGGATGAAGCTTCTGAGACGGATGGGAGGCTCCTGTTTGCAAGTCATCTGCCTTTGCTGGGAGGGATCTGGCCTGGGATAGATGTTGCTGCTGTTTTCCACCTTGGTTCTGGCAAGGGAAAGGATTTGGGGTGGAAGAAGAAGGGGAAAAGAGAACTTTCTTAGGTTATTATTTTCCCACTAGAAAAGGGGAATTGTCCAGAAAAACAGGAATTTTTGGCTTTGCTGTTACACAAGGGACTTGGGTCAAGAGCCATGTGGGGCAGGACTCTCTGGTGTCCGTCCCCTCTGTCCGTCCCCTCTGTCCGTCCCCCGTGTCCATCCCCTCTGTCCCTCCTCTGTTCGTCCCCTCTGTCCATCCCCCGTGTCCGTCCCCTCTGTCCATCCCCCGTGT